TCAGTCCCAGCTCAAAAGAAAAACCATCATTACCATCATCATCATCATCATCACCACCACCACCACCACCACCACTATAAATAAACAGAAAATTTCAAGGCCTAAAAATAGTCCATTATGGAGTACAAAGTTACCAGTCCTACAAGAAAATGAATCCTAGAAAGTTAACATTGGATAAAACTTCAAAAATTAACTTTTCTTTTCTTCTTTTTTTTTTTTTTGTCAGTCCTAGGGCTTGAACTCAGGGTCTGGGCTCCTGGTCTGTCCCTGAGCTCCTTTTGCTCAAAGCTAGCATTCTACCACTAGAGCTACAGCATTAGTTACCTCTAGTTTTTTCTGTTTATGTGGTACTGAAGAATCAAACCCATGGCTTCACGCATGCAAGGCATGCACTTTACCACTAAACCACATTCCCAGAAAAATTAACATTTTTCCTGGTTTTTCCAAATGAGGACACTTGAGTGTTGAGAGAGAAAGTAACCTGCAAAGTTCCCCAACTAGTTAGTAATTGGGCTGGGACTAGAGTCTCAACCGCTTATCTCTAACATAACTGTTCATTTCATGCCACATGTTGACCACATGTGCATCTGGCAACCTCATAAAGTAGTTCATTAAAGCCATCAGGAGGACTTGGAATGTGGCATAGTGGTAGAGTGCTTGCCTAGCATGCACGAAGCCCTGGGTTCGATTCCTCAGTTCCACATACACAGAAAAAAACAAAAGTGGTGCTATGGCTCAAGTGGTAGTGTGCTAGCCTTGAGGGACAGCACCCAAGCCCTGAGTTCAAGCCCCAGGACTAGCACCACAGAAAAAAAAAGCCATCAGGAATGAAGGACAAATTATTCACATGTGTCCTCTTCTCTCTGATATATATATATATATATATATATATATATATATATTTGTTTATAAATATTGTTTATATTTATGGGTGATGTTTAAATTGTGATTATACATGATGTGATGTTTTAATCTATGTATATATTATAGATTCAATCCAGTATATATTCAATCCAGCTAATTAACATACCCATCGCCTTACCAATTTGTCTGTGTGTGTATGTAGTGATAAAAATATATTTTAGCAATCTTGAAATATGCAGTATATTAACTGTGCTTACCATACAGATCAGATCACTAAAACTTACTTCTCCAGTTTTTTTGGAGGGGAAGAGCTGGTCCTGGGGCTTGAACTCTGGGCCTAGATATTGTCCCTGAGCTCCTTTTGCTCAAGACTAGCATTCTACCACCACACCACTACTTCTGGCTTTTTCTGTGATTAATTGGAGATAAAAGTCCCATAAACTTTTCTGCCTGGGCTGGCTTTGAAGGCAATCCTCAACTCTCAATCTCCTGAGTAGCTAGGATTACATTTGTGAGCTAGTAGTCTCCCACTAATTTCAACAGTCTTAACTGAAACTTTGTACCCTTGATCAATAAATACATCTTTGCTTTCCCCATCTCCACAAGACTTTTTTTCCCCTTTGTGTTTCTCTGTCTCCTCTGTCTATTTCTGTCTCTTTAATCTCTTTTATGTTTCTTCCTGTGAATCCCTCTCTCTGGAGTTTCAGATTGAATTGTGGTGAGCTGCATGATTTTTGTTGTTGTTATGTGTTCTTCTGTAAACTTCTGTTTCCTGTTGGAAAATAATCAACTCTCTCTCTCTCTTTTTTTTTTTTTTTGGTGACCTTTGTGGAAAAGAACACCCAGAATTTCAACATGAGAGATGCCGAATCTTCCTGCTAGCCTATCTAGTCAATTAAAATGAGTCTCTGGCCCCCCTGAGGGTTGTTAACCAATCCAAGGAAAGAAAAGATCAATCTAATTTCTTCCGTCACTACTGTGCTGGGAGGCTGCTAACCAGTCAGAAACTGCCACTAGCAGTCATTAGAAAAACTGGCCAATCAGGCCAACCTTGTTACATGGTCTGGTAGGAAAAGAAAAGGATTGATTGGAAAGGATAGTTCTGGCTCCACACCCTTTCCTTTCTGGACCTCAGTTCCCTCAGCAAAGTGAAGGAAGGACCCTTCCCCAAGGGTTAAGAAGATCCCTAGACTATTAGCTAACATTTTCTTGGATCATATTTTTTGGCTTCAAATTCCCTTCTCCCTCCATCCTCTCTTAGTAATCTCAATGTTCTGCTAAGATCGAAAGTCTTCCTTCACACCTTGTTGCTATAGCCCCTAGCAGTCCCAGCTTCCCCACAGATCTTTACCCACCAGTATGTCAAATAACTCCTTTTGCATGCTTTATGTGGGTGAAAAAAAGTTTAGTCCCTTTCAAGGCAAGGACCTTGCAATAAACAATTTCTAAGGAGCAGTGCAGAATTGAATTGTGATGCCCTAAACTATAATAATAATGGTGGTGATGATAATAGCAATTATTGGATTTTTACAGGGTGCCAAGCACCTTGCTAAAAAAGCTTCACATATATTATTATCCCAATATTGGCCGTAGGGTAAGCACTGCTGTTATTCTCAATTTACAAGGGAGGAAATTGATTTTGAGGGATTAAAATAAATAACTTGCCCAAGGTCACATAGTGATCTGGGAACCCTAGTTTGCCTGCATACCAGACTATGGGAGAAAGGATAGCAGACATTGCAGGCTTCCTCCTTCCCTGGCCCTCCCCTGAGATTCTTTACCATCTTCTGAGATTGCCTCAATTGCCACCTCAAACAGCTGCTTCTAAGTACTACACATGTTCAGCTTCTTAGGATATGATGCTGAAAGCAGAAGTATTTCAGTTTGGACAAAGGTAGTGTGTGTGTGTGTGTGTGTGTTGGGGGTAGGGGAAATCTTCAGGGAAGAAACTCCTAAATCTGTCCAGGTGCCTGTGGCTCACGCCTGCAAGCCTAGCTAACTCAAGAGGCTGAGATCTGAGGGTCGAGGTTCAAAGCCAGCTGGGGCAGAAAACTGTGAGACTCTTCTCTGCAATGAATTACCAAAAAGCCAGAAGTGGAGCTGTGGTCAAACACTGGAGATCCACCTCAAAGGCAGCACCCAGGCCCTGAATTCAAGCCCCAGGACTGGCACAAAAAAGGGGGGGTAAACCCTTCCTAAATCCTAGCCAGCCTGTCTTCCCTTTCTCGCCTGGTGCTCAGTGCTTTGGTAAATACCTGTTGATTGATTCTCAAGGATCCCAGATCCCACCCTTGCCCCGTGAACAACTAACAACTGAAGAGAGGAAAAAGACAGACAAAGACAGAGACAGACAGACAGACAGACAGACAGAGACAAACAGACAGAGAGAGACAGAGAGACAGACACAGAGACAGAGACACAGAGACAGAAACAGACACAGAGAGACAGAGACAGACAGGAGAGGGAAAGAGAGAGAGACAGAGACAGAGAGACAGAAACAGACAGACAGGAGAGGGAGAGGGAGGGAGAGAGAGAGACAGAGAGATTGAGAGAGAGATTTGGGAATCTCGGGGGACAACTCGTGCGAACCCTAATCGGGCTGGAACGCAGGATGTGGGAAGGGCGGAGAGTCCCCCCACCCGGGTCTCCGCGTCTGCTTCTCCCATTCCCCCCCCTCATTCCTTTCCCCTCCCTTTCAGGGGCTTCAGGGCCATAAAAATGCAGATGGAGGATCGGTGTGAAATAACGGGCCCATATAAATCCCTCTGCCGCCCGCCTGCAAGATGGATTGGCCGCATTGAAATTCCTCCGCGAGGATAATTAAACTCGGGGCCTCATCCGGGCAAAATTACATTCCTGTAATGGCGTCGCTCGGGGTCCCGGGAAATTGCTCCGTGGGCTTTCAGCGGCGGTTTTTATCGCCGGCCGGGGTGTGCCTGGCTGCGGCTCGCCTCTCCTCCGGGACCGTAAAGCTGCTGCCGTGATTTATCCTCCCCTTCTCCCAAATCCGATTAAATGGAGGAGCTCGGGGGGCCGGGGCGCCGGGGGGCCCCCGAGGAGCCGGGAAGAAGGGGGGCGGCGGGAAGGACGGGGCCAAGGAGGGGAGGACAAACGGCCCCTCCGAGGGTGGCGGATTTGGCTTTATTTACAGCCATGGCTTTTTCTTTTCTTTCTCTCTCTCTTGTTTTTAATAGGGGTTTTGGCGATGCCCCACCGGGCCCCCCCCCCCGTTCTCATGCTGCGTTCGAGCACGATGTCTGGACGGCTGGGGCTTGGCACCGAGTAGGCCTCGCGGCGGCCTCTAACCGGGCTGGCTCCAGGGGAGGCCTTGGCAGGGACGCCCCCAATCCTCCTTCCACTCTCCGGAGAGCACCTCGTGGCAGGACTGCGCCTCCCAGCTGGCCCCGGGTGCTGCCAGGGCAGAAGCTTAGGCTCGCCCCGCAGGTCCCATGTGCCATCAGGAATTGAGCTTCCGACTATATATTTAGCCCCTGTTTTGACTCGTGGATGCTGGTGTTACTCGTGGCTTATCAAAAGAATAAGACCAGAGAGGCAAAGGGAAACGAAGGCGAAGCCAGCAGAAGCAGCCGTGGCATTTCTGTTGACTATTCGCCCACTGAATCCGTTTTCCATCCAATGATGCCAGGATGCTCAGACCACAGGCATCCCATGATTTTCCTCCTCCTCCTCCTGCAGTCTAGCCACTGAACCCCAATCTGTCTTGTGTGCTATTTAACATGGAATTTCTCGGTGGGCTTCCTCCTCGCCCAGGGTGATGGCGCATGTTCAGGAACGGGGTGGGAGTAGGGGTGGGAGGGAAGAGAATCCGCGAAGCCAAAGCAACGCTGTGCAGACCACGCTGCGGGCCGCGTTTCAGATCGGCTTTACTCTGCAGAGTTGGCTTGCGTTTATTTCTTCTGCAACGAGGTCGGCTGCCCTACCTTGTAGTTTCTCCTCTCAAACGCCAGGTGGAGCATCGGACCGGATGCTACCAGCCAAGCTGACAGGGGGCGCTGTGGCGACCTTGCACCGGCGCTCATCATTGTGGTGACTCTAGCCGCCGGTGGAGCAACTCGTTGGTCCGGGGAACGCATGCGCTAAGCCTTCCTCTCTGTGTTCCCGCCTCCCCTCCTGCCCCCCCGCCCCTCTCTGTCTTCTCTGCCCTGGGAGCAGGTAAGGCTTTGGGGCCTGCGACTTTCTCGGAGACGCGCAGGCGCGCGGTCCGTCCCTCCTCGCGCCGATGCTTTGAGGTCCTCACTTTGTTTGTTCCCATTCCGGTCCTCGCACTCTGCTCGGTTCTCGGTGTCCCTGCGCCTGAGAGCGATCCCTTGGGCGTGCGGGTGACCTCCAGCCGCGCGGGCCTGGCGCCATCTTGGCCGTCTCGTGCGGGGAGGGCGGGGGAGGAGGCCTCGGAGCTGGCGAAAGTAGGATCCCTGGAGTGCAGCTGAATGATGACGCCCTTTTCCTCGCTCTCCGGGCCTTTCAAACGTGTCCCAAACGCCCAGACTCTACCCTCCTATCGGCCTGCTCGTACTTTTAGCCTTTATTCTGAAACCTCCGGACTTTCAACCTCAGTGCCTCACCAAGTCCCTGTCTAGTCAGCATCCATTCAGCTCAAAGAAGCAAACAGTAAACGTGATAGAAACTAACAGAACAGTCTCCTGCCTGCAGGCAGTGGCTTAGGAAAGCTAGATTAAAAGAGAAATCATTGGGGTTTGTGAAACATTCTATTATTTCCCAGTACCATTCTCTTACTTGGCCTGGCACCCCAGTGAAGATGAAAATATCACAAAAGGGTGAGTTAGAAGTGGCAGGTCCTAAAAGTGGGGTATGGCCAACCCAAGCATTAGTTCCCACCTGTCATCTTCGCTGTCATGTGTTTAGGAAGCATCTCAGATTCAGCCATCAAGAGGAAGAAAAGGCTTAAAGAAGGGAATGTAACTTTGTGAAGAAGCCCATAATGAATGAGAAGCTCTGATTCTGGGGAGTCTGTGCCCAAGTATACACTAATGATGGCAGACTTCCCAGGGCTGGGTGAAATCTGCAGAAGGGCACCGTGCTTAATTGCAAATCTTGATCTGGACCCATTACATGTCAACACCATAGTATACTATTAACAGGTATTAGTTTGAGTTAACATTTAATCCCTGTAAGGACTACATTTTATAAATGATCATTTTAAGGCTTAACTGCTTGGATGGGGGGGGCACTTTTCTAAAACCTTTAAAGTATTGGGTTTTGACTCAAGAAAATATGAATAATTGGGTGGCAAAATTGGGTTAAAATTGCATATACGCTGAAATCAGAGTTCTAGGTTGGATAATTCCTAGATAAACATTCATCTAGAGGTAATTATGAGGCTAGATTTAGAAGTATTATACCCTAGGGCTAGGAAGGTGGCTCAGTGGTAGAGCACTTGCCTTGCATGCTCAAGGCCCTGGGTTCGATTCCTTAGCACCACATAAGCAAAAAGAAAAAAGCTGGAAGTCGGCGCTGTGGCTCAAGTGGTAGAGCGCTAGCCTTGAGCTGAAGAGCTGAGGGACAGCGCCCAGGCCCAGAGTTCAGGCCCCACAACCAGACCCCCCCCCAAAAAAAAAAAGTAGAAAAGTTTTGAGACCAATTCATTTAGGGACTAAGTGATGTTCAACAGGCATATGCAATCACTTCAGTACTTTTAGCCTCTGGCATATTAGAATTTAAAAGTGAAAAGAAGGGCTGGGAACGTGGCTCAGTGGTAGAGTGCTTGCCTTGCATGCATGAGGCCCTGGGTTCGATTCCTCAGCACCACATAAGCAAAATGAAAAAGCTGGAAGTGGCGCTGTGGCTCAAGTGGTAGAGCACTAGCCTTGAGCTGAAGAGCTAAGGGACCGCGCCCAGGCCCAGAGTTCAGGCCCCACGACCGGACCAAAAAAAAAAAAGTGAAAAGAAAAGAATTTCAAAATAGAGATATCCAAGTTGAAATCCTACCTATGCCATTACCATAATAGATACTGGTGTTAGTTTATCTTACAGTTATGTGTATCTTAACTGTAAAGGACAGTTCACTTAGGAAAACTTGAAGTACAGGGCATGTGAGCATCCAGCAGTCTGGACCAGGGAATGTCTAAAGTGGAGCCCAAAAACAATGGGGGAGAAGGGATAATAGCCTGAAACTCATGGTTCATGCCTATATTCTAAGCTTTAGAGTCTGAGATTGTTGGGATTGCAGAACAAAGCCAACCTGGGCTGAAAAACCCTTTCAAAAAGGTGCTAAATGTAGAAACACATCCTAGGTATTGTAGTTACCAAGAAACCTAGTATAGGTGGACGTACCCATTCACATGCCTGGACAGGAAGCAAGACCCTCAAAAATAATAAAACTGGGAATGTAATTTAGTGGTAGAGTGCTTGCCTAGCATGTATGAAGCCCTGGGTTCAATTCCTCAGTACCATATAAGCAGAAAAAGCTGGAAGTATGGAGCTGTGGCTCAAGTGGTAGAATGCTACTCTTTAGCCAATGAAGCTCAGGGACAGTGCTTAGCCCTGAGTTCAAGTCCCAGGACTGGTCCAAAAAAAGGGGGGATAAACTGGACACTGTTGGTTCATGCCTGTAACCCTCACCACTCAGGAGGCTGAGATACAAGGATCGTAGTTTGAAGCCAGCCCAGGAAGGAAGCCAGTGGGCTGTGGAGCTGTGGCTCAAAGTAATAGAGTACTATCCATAAGCAAAGGCGCTCAGGGACAGTGCCCAGGCCCTAAGTTCAAGCCGTATGACCAAAAGAAGGAAGAAGCTCAAGAACAGCACATAGGCTATTAATGGTACAAGGGTTTCTCTGTGGTCATTCCATGCATGCATGCATGTATTATGTTTTGATCATTCTTCACCCAAAGTTTTTGTTGTTTTTTTTGTTGTTGTTGTTTTGGTCAGTCGTGGGGCTTGAACTCTGGGCCTGGGCGCTGTCCCTCAGCTCTTCAGCTCAAGGCGAGCACTCTACCACTTGAACTACAATGCCACTTCCGGTTTTTTTTTTCTAGTGGTTTATTGGAGATAAGAGTCTCACAGACTTTCCTGCCGGGGCTGGCTTTGAAGCGTGATCCTCAGATCTCAGCCTCCTGAGTAGCTAGGATTACAGGCATGAGCACCCAGCGAATAAGTATTTTTAATACATATGCCACCTCTACTCCCAGACAATTCTGGCTCAAGTGGACTTCTTCACTTGGGCAGACCTTGCCTTTAAGTGTTTAACTCACCCTCTCTTCTCTCAGTTCTTCTAGCTTAGGCACTTACAGAGTATAAGGACTTCTTATAAGATCTTGAGATCACAAATTTAATACCTTTTAGTGTCATAGTGAAAGTGAATAGTTTACAGTCATTGTTAATTAGAGTAATGGCAGGTGGCTTTGGGTTTTTTTGAGTCATCCTATTAATTGACAAAGGAAATTGAAATGATGAGTTAAACGCTTCCAAGGAATTCAGTTAAAAGATTGTTGGAGAACTTCCAGTGTCTTGGGCTTAGTAGTACACATCTGTAATCCCAGCAATAATGAGTTGGAGGCAGAGGATTCAAATTTCAGGCTGGCCTGGGCTTTGAGATCCTGCCTCAAAAAATTAAACAACAAGCCGGGCGCTGGTGGCTCACGCCTGTAATCCTAGCTACTCAGGAGGCTGAGATCTGAGGATCGCGGTTCAAAGCCAGCCTGGGCAGGAAAGATCGTGAGACTCCTATCTCCAATAAACCACCAGAAAACCGGACGTAGCGCTGTAGCTCAAGTGGTAGAGCGCTCTGAGCTGAAGAGCTGAGGGACAGTGCCCAGGCCCAGAGTTCAAGCCCCACGACTGACAAAAAAAAAATTAAACAACAACAGATACCTCTAGATGTCTCCCAAGAATACAGTCTTTAGGCTGGGCTGATAGGTCAGTGGTAAACCTCAAGTGGCTCATGATAGAACGCATGCATGAGACCCTGGGTTCGATTCCTCACCACCTGAATTCAAGGCCCATGAATGACCAAAAAGAAGAAGAAGAAGGGCAACTTTAGACCCAGACAGGTCCAGAAGAGATGCTTCTTAATAAAAATTGAAAACAAGTGAGGCAAAGAACATGGAAAATTACTCTGACAATCCCAAATCATGAGGCTGTGTAAGTGGGTGACACATTGTAAAGCAGAGCCCTAGTGACTACGAAGACCATGAGACAGGCAGTTATAAGAAAGTTATCATTTTGAGATTCTATCTCCATCTCACTGATGACTTGAAGTCAGTCACTGCTCTCTGCCAGTTAAACTATAGAGCCCCTTCTAATGTAGCAGTAAGCAAGGACTATTTACAAGGCTGTTTGTGTAATTCCAGCTCTCCTGCCACACCCCCTCACCCTGAAAATGTATGCCTGCTCCAAGGTTGTCTCTACTCCCTCCTTGGTGAGTACTGCTTTTTTTCTATAAAATTTAAAGGAGGGACACCTTGTTTTGTTCCTCTCAGACTTTGTTCTTCACATCTGGGCTGGGAAAGGGGAATGAGATTCTTGGGAAGGGGCAGCCCTTTGCTGTGGTAGCTAAATAGGAGAGTGAAGCTTGCCAGCCATTCCTGCTGTATATGGCCAAGGTCACATTATCAGTCCTAAAGCTGTATATTCCTGTAAATTGGAATCCACCTACAAGTGGTAAGCATAGAGTCCAGGACAAAGTGTGCATCATGTGTAGGATCTTGTCATGAATGAGCCACAACGAATAGTTCATTCTGGGGACTAAAGTTTGGGTAAAAGGCTAAAATACACATAAATACACACTGGCAAGTACTTAGCTCAGAAGCAACAGTGGAGAAGAGATTAAAAATTAAATAGTAGAGGCTGGGAAGGTGGCTCAGTGGTAGAGCGCTTGCCTTGCATGCATGAGGCCCTGGGTTCAATTCCTCAGTACCACATAAGCAAAAACAGCCGGAAGTGGTGCTGTGGCTCAATTGGTAGAGCACTAGCCTTGAACTGAAGAGCTGAGGGACAGCGTCCAAGCCCAGAGTTCAGGTCCTAGGACTAACTAAAAAAAATTAAATAGTAGAGGCAGTTCATCTTTCAGTATAACAGAGTGATTCTATTAGTAGATAACATTACTGAGTACTTAGCACATGCCTGGCACTTCCTCAAACCAACCCTGAGAGATAACATTCCATATGAAAAGGACAAAAAAGGCTTAGAACAGTTTAAGCGATTTAAGAGGTTACATCATTGACAGAAAGAGAGGATTTGAGTCTGGAGCTGTCTGGCTCTGAAGCCCTAGCTGTTATTATTCGTTTTAGAGACGTTGGCTTGGGCTTTAGTCAAGACAACCAGGAGAGAGTAAATTTTGAGTATGGATCTTTGTGTGTTTTCCAGAGGATATTTTGGCTGTCTTTGGTCTGTTTTGGCTATCTGTGGATTAGCCATTACCAAATATATCTCCCTGTTGAGTGAATTAAATGCTTCCAAGACTTGGGTTTCTTCTCCAGGGCAGAAAAAAGGGACAAGGGTACATGATAACCTTGTGGCCTTCCAAAAGGACGTAGACTTTTCTTAAAAACCTGAAGCCAGCTGGGCATTGATGGCTCCCACCTATAATCCTAGCTACTCAGGAGACTTGAGATCTAAGGATCTCTGTAAAGCCAGCCAGGCAGAAAATTCCATGAGATTCTCATCTCCAGTTGACCACCTTGCACTGTGGCTCAAACTGGTAGAGTGCTGTTCTTGAGCACAAAAGCTGAGGAACAGCGCGCAAACCCTGAGGTCAAGCCCCATGACAGACAAAAAAAAAATTTTAATTAAAAAAGCCTGATAAGGAATGGTGGTGTGGTGGTGTACATCTGTAATCCCAGTTACTCAAGAGGTGGAGGCAGCCAGATCCTGAGTTTCAGCCCAGCATGGCTAAAGGTAGTGAGACCCTATCTCAAAGATTTATCCAAGACTGATTAAAAGAGAAGTTAGAACTTGGCATGGTTCTGAAAGTCCTCTCTCCATAGCTTTCCTTCACCTTCCTGCTGTTGTTCCTTCTAGGTCAGGAGCACCTGTCAGCTGCTGAGCCGACCACTATCTGCAGTGGTCCTGAACCGACCACAGACGCTGCTGACAGATGAGGTACCTCAACAGGTGGAGTTGGGACAGTAGGTCTCCGGTGAGGGGTAGGGAGGGTTACCTGCCAGAACCAGTAGGGGGAGTGCTGAGGACAGTCATCACAGACTTGAAATTTGGGAAGGATCAAGGCCTCTGGCTTTAGGTAGAGGTGGAAGGCAGTTAATACCGTGTACATTTTAGAACTCCAGCTTTTTGGCCCTGTGTGCCACTGTTAGCTGCCATTACTTGACCTGGTCGATTCACTTCACATCCCAGGCTCCAACAACAACATAGGACTTAAATGTAAGAACACACCTGAATTGTGAAGGATTTTGAAGTCCACTTCCTACATTAAAAGGTTTTGCTTGTCAGCACTGCAGGGAGTTTTCCAGAGACTTAAGTGATTTTTCCATCTGGGGAAGAAATCATGGAATTTGACAGCAACAGAGGGCTTAAGTGGTATGTTTCCAAAGCAAAAAAAAAAAAAGGAATTTCCTAAAAAAAAAAAAAAATTTGCCTTCTGTCTCTTCACAGCAGAGCCACAGCAGCTTAGCAGGCCCACGTCCCCTGACCTCACTTGTCCCCAGCCGCAGCTTCCAAACCAGCGCCATTTCAAGGGACATTGACACCGCAGCCAAGTTCATTGGGGCTGGAGCCGCCACAGTTGGGGTGGCTGGCTCTGGGGCTGGGATTGGCACAGTGTTTGGGAGCCTCATCATTGGTTATGCGAGGTAAGTTGAGCCTTCCGTTGGCCCTCTTGTGCTTCTCAAAGCAGAAATATTAGGGGGTCTAGGGCTGTATTATCTTAGGTAGTAGTCCCTTACTACATGAAGGTATTATTAATTTAAATTTGAATTAATGAAAAATACACAAAGTTTAGGTTTTCAGTTCCTCAGTTACACTTATTTCACAAGTTCTCTTGTGCCAAGAGACATATACTGGACAGTGCGTTTACATCACTGGAGAAGGTTGTGTTGAGCAGCTTTAGTGTACAACAGGGGCTGGCAAACTAAGATCTAAGGGTTAAACTTGGGCCACAGCCTAGTTTTCTGTAGTTGAACCTAAGAATGGTTATTTTTAAAGATTTTTTTTTCCCCCTAGTCCTGGGGCTTGAGCTCAGGGCCTGAGCACTGTGCCTAAACTTCTTTTTGCTCAAGGCTAGTTCTCTACCACTTGAGCCATAACGCCACTTCTGGCTTTTTCTTTGTATGTGATACTAAGGAATCAAACTCAGGGCTGCATGCATGCTAGGCAAGCACTCTACTACTAAGCCAAATTCCCAGCGCTAAAGATTATTTTTTAAACCTATAACTAGGAAGTGATAGGTGCCAAAAGTCCCAGCTACGCTGGCTCCATATGCATCTAAGCACCATATTGTATTGCACAGCACTTTTAGAGTGACTATGTTTGTGTGAAATGTAACACAGAGTCTGGCACATCACAAAACCTAAATAGTATTTGCTGTCTGGCCCTTTACAGAAAAAAGTGTGCCATCCCCAGTGTAGGGCTCAGTCGGTGCTTTGGCTTTTCTGCTGTTTTCCCTGACTCTAGGAGTTCCCTCTATCACTCCTGGGACAGCTGCCTCTGCAGCCCAGTCCTACAGGTTCCTGACACCTGGGACTATTCAGTCCCTACCAAACCTGCTATTAGAGATAAATTAATCCTCTAGGGACCAGCAAGTTCTCTTAATGTCTAGGGAAATTCAGGTATTTTGCTGTTTTTTTTTGTTGTTGTTTTTGTTCGTTTGTTTTTGGATTTATATTAAACACAAAGCATTACTACTATTGTGTTCATAGTTGTGTTAAAAGCTGGGGCTGGGAAGGTGGCTCAGTGGTAGAGCGCTTGCCTTGCATGCATGAGGCCCTGGGTTCGATTCCTCAGCACCACATAAGCAAAAAGAAAAAAGCCAGAAGTGGTGCTGTGGCTCAAGTGGTAGAGCGCTAGCCTTGAGCTGAAGAGCTGAGAGACAGCGCCCAGGCCCAGAGTTCAGGCCCCATGATTGGACCCAAAAAAAGAAGCTAATGATGCTTACTGGATGTGGTTGGCACCTGTAATCCCATCATTCCAGCTCCTCAGGAGACATATTGCAGTTCAAGGCCAGCTAGGGCAAAAAGTTCATGAAATCTCATCTGAACCAATAAAAACTTAGGTATAGTGGAATATACCTATGTGGGAATTGTTCATAGAAAGCCCAGCCAGCTTGTCGGTAAACATGAAATCCTATTCAAAAAGATAACTAGAGCAAAAGGACTACAGGCATAGCTCAAGTGGTAGAGTGCCTTTAGGAAACACAAGGCCTTCAACTGGAACCTCAGCGTCAATCACACATATACACAAAGGTGATGGTAACCCACTAATACTTCCTAGAGATGTCAGTAAGGGAAATATAAATTATATATTCACCTTCAAAGTTAGGAGTCATTTATTTTATTTCGACTCATTAATAATACAACAGGGCCAAGCGCCAGCGGCTCACGCCTGTAATCCTAGCTACTCAGGAGGCTAAGATCTAAGGATTGTAGTTCAAAGCCAGCCCAGGCAGTAAAAGTCCATGAGACTCTTTATCTCCAATATACCACCAGAAAACTGGAAGTGGCGCTGTGGCTCAAGTGGTAGAGCACTGACCTTGAGCTGAAGAGCTGAGGGATAGCGCCCAGGCCCCACAACCAACAACAAAAAAAATAATACAGCAGACCAATATGCATCAGAAAACCTAAAATCTTAACTTTTGAGAAACCCTTTTCCTCCCAACTCTCTCTGAAAGCATGAAGTTTTGTTTGTTTTTGTTTTTTGACAGCCCTGGGCCTTGAGCTCACAGGGCCTAGGCTCTGTCCCTGAGCCTCTTTGTGCTCAAGACTAACCCCCTACCACTTGAGCCACAATGCCACGTCTGGCTTTTTCTGTTTATGTGGTACTGAGGGAATCAAATCCAGAACTTTATGCGTGCTAGGCAAGCACTCTACCACTAAGCCACATTCTCAGACCTGAAAACATGTTTTTCTAATTGTGTCCACAAAGCCCTATAATCCCAAGGATGTGAAGTTTAAAACACTGATCTAAAAAGACCCTGCTACTCTGGGTGTCTGTTGCATCCTATTTAGGCCCTGGATGTTACATGTCCAACTCTAGAGATTTTAAGTTTGAATGATGAGGTTGATCCACTGGAAAAGGTAGTGTTTATTATACCTGGGCCATGTTTCGAATTGTCTATTCCCAACTTATGCAGTCCAAGAGAACTTGATGTATCAGGGCAAAAATTTGAGCATGATAGTGTCTCCCTGAATGACTCCTTTAGAAAATGAGCTTGAAGGGAAATATCTCCCTGAGCTCATCTCATTTTTTGTTTGATTGTTTATGGTTCTAGGATTTGCTTGCCTGGAAGTCTATCACTTGAGCTACTGCTCAAAAGCCCTGCTTTTTGCTGGTTATGTTGAAGATGGAGTTTTGAGGACAGGTTGGCCTCAAACTGATCATTCAGATCTCAGCCTTCCCAGTAGCAAGGATTACAGGCATGAGCCACCGGTGCCCAGTTTGTTTTGGCCTTTTCTTTGTATGGACTAGAAATTCAGTCTTTTTTTTTTTCCTCTCCTCTAGGAACCCTTCTCTGAAGCAGCAGCTCTTCTCTTATGCCATTCTGGGCTTTGCCCTTTCGGAGGCCATGGGGCTCTTTTGCCTGATGGTGGCCTTTCTCATCCTCTTCGCCATGTGAAGGAGCAGTCTCCATCTCCCATACTTTTTTCTCCCATGTCTTGTTTGCCCTGTATGTTTCTTTTCCTGTACCTCCCCAGGAAGTCTGGGGAAAGTGGTTGTCTCAGGGTTTGACAGAGGGAAGACAAAATAAATACTGTATTAATAAGATGTTTTGCGAGTCTCCTGTGTATATTTCTTTTCTACAGTTGGCTAAGTGCCTCAGTGAGAGTACAAAGCCTGGAGGATGGTGATAATTCTGAACTCAACATTTACTCTTAGTTTTCTGTTTCAGGAAGGCTTCATTCAAAGTAGCTTTTAAATAATTATCACCTGTTACGGCCTGGAGGATTAGGGTCACTAGCAACTTAGAGTGCTGGCTTAGCATGGTGACTATTAAGCTTTCTGTTAAATGATCACTGGATCTCTCCTGGCTCAGGCCCTTATTATCACCCATCTGGTCTATTAGAAGAACCTTTTAACTGACCACCTGCCTCCAGTTATTCCTCTAACATTTACCATTGGCTGGCAGGTAAATCTTCCCTTAATTACAAGGCTTGTCATTCACCCATTTAAAAACAACTCTTTTTTTCTTCTTTGAGATGATCCTGGTACATTGCCTAGGTTGGACTTGAATTCCTAGACTTAAGTGGAGCCTCCCAGTAAGCTACTGCACTATTACACTGGCCTTCTCTTTGATTCCCATATACCACCCAAGTAGATTGCTTTTTCTCATTCTCTCAATTCTTTCCTGTCCTTACCATATCTTTCAGACTTGGCCTCTCTCTGCTCATCTCTCCTTTTCACTGAATCTTTACTCACTTTCCTCTTTTTCAGAATCACTCTTAACCTTAAAGATTTAGCTTAAGAGGCTGGGAAGGTAGCTCAGTGGTAGAGTGCTTGCCTCGCATGCATGAGGCCCTAGGTTCAATTCCTCAGCACCACATAAGTAGAAAAAGCCAGAAGTGGCCTAAGTGGTAGAGCACTAGCCTTGAGCTGAAATGCTGAGGGACAGTGCCCAGACCCAAGAATTCAGGCCCCACAATGGACAAAGAAAAAAAAAAGATTTAAATACTTTCCTCTATACAGCTATTTCCTAAAGTACCTAAATTTTTTATATAATCACTTAATCCATTCTACCTGCCCAACAGAATCAAAGTATTTTCTCTAAGATCCTTTGAGAGACGTAAGGTCTCTCAAATGTTGGTCCTGTAGGATTCTCCCCAACCATAAATGTTCAAAATGTAAAAAGGAAAGAGTAGAGTAAACAAAGCTAAACATTTTCCTTAAAAATGCCTTAGAAGGGGCTGGAAATGTGGCTCAGTGGTAGAGTGCTTGCCTCACATGGATGAGGCCCCGGGTTCGATTCCTCAGCACCACATAAACAGAAAAAGCCAGAAGTGACACTGTGGCTCAAGTGTAGAGCTGAAGAGCTGAGGGACAGGTTCCCCTCCCCCCCCCCAAAAAAAAAGATGCCTTAGAATGGTCTTTGTACTTGTCAGTTGATAGCGGAAGAATTCCTTATATTTTTCCTAAAAGTTAAAAAAACTGATGATCTTGGAAAAACTGGACACAAGTTCAAGTCCTTTATGGAATAATGTAAATGGCCATAGTGATTTTACTTTTGCAAACATTACCCTTTTGATACTGTGATAAAAGTGTGGGGAGGGATCAACCTGCCAGATTACTATATTATTAAATAATCATTCTGGGGGTTGTGTCCAAAAATATTCTTGGGAATAAGCAGTAGGCTTCCCTTTGTTTTGGTAACTTGAATTTATATCTCTTCTAGGAGGCTCTGCCCATCCCTTTCAGTCAAGTGTCAGTTGTCTTTGTGTGTGTGTGTGAGTGAGTGTGTACGCCAATACTGGGGGCTTAGAACTCAGGGCCTCCTGCTTTTCTTGGGTTCTTTCCACTAAAGGCTGGTCCTCTACCCCTTTAGCCATACCTCACACCAGAACTAGCTTTTTGCTGGTTAATTGGAGATAAGAGTCTCACGGATTTTTCTGTCTAGGCTGGCCTCATATCTCAAGCCAGCCTCCTGAGTACCTAGGGTTACAGATGTGAGCCACCAGTGCCCCATTTTCCTTAGTTCTTAGGAACTGAGTTGAGCTAAGCTTTTATCAAGTACTTTAAGAGAACAAAGTTTTGTGGTACATGTTTTTCTCTCTGAGGTAAATGATGAGATAGCTCTGCAAGAAGTTTAGAAACAAATTTATTCAGGAGTCTAGGCAACCTTCATCCTCTCAGCTTCAGGCCCCAAGAGACATTTATTGACAACCCAAGTTGCTAACAACTTGGCATAAAGAAGTGCTGTCTTTAGTAAACAGATGGTTCAAGAAAGGTTTTCTGAAGATCTCTCCAACTTTGAAAGCTTTATAGTTATAAAAAGCTTTCTGTTTGATTTGAATAGCATATCAGTGGGGCATCTAGGAGCTCACACCTAAATCCTAGTCACTTAGGAGGCTGAGATGTGAAGATTTTGATTAGAAGCCAGCCCAGACAGAAAAGTCCAAGAGGCTCTATTTCCAGTTAACCCCCAAATGACTGACTGGCAGTAGCTCAAATGTTAGAGAGAAAGCCATGAGCAAAGAAAAAACTGAGCAAGAGTACAAGGTCCTGAGTTCAAGCCACAGTATTAGCACCACCACCAACAACAACAACAATAATAATAATAGCATATGATTTGAAACTAGGAGACTCCAACTCTAATTTTCTTGTATCACTGGCCATTGTGATGCTGGGCAATTTGCTAATAACTTTCTAGGATTCTGTTTCTCCCATTACTAAATAAAGGTAATAATACTCCTAAATAGAGGGGCAATATTCATCCCAGGAATTATACAAATGCACACAATTGTGTACTAGAGTGTTTGGAAAGGATAGTGCTATCAAAATTCAGGGTACATTGATTATAACTTGCTTTTCTATTCTACATGGAGTTCAGAGCCTATTATAGCCATATTATAGGCAGCATCTCTCACTTCCCACATAAAAAACTGACCATCTAAAATGTTTAATCTGGCAAAAAAAAAAAAAATCTGGAGAGAGAATCCAGGAATGCTGAAAGCAGCATGACCTGCTTCCCTGTTTGGATTTATGCCTGAGTTTCTCCAAGTCAGCCATGTTCCCTCAGCACCAGGCGCAGAGTGTCAATAGGCTTGTGCCATCCTAATTGGAAGCAAATGATAGCCTTTGAAATCACTTAGATGCTAAATAGTAGCAGTGAGAGCCCTGGTCCAACTTCCCTTTCAGGATGGATATATTCAGGTAAGTCCTCAAGGTCATCAGGATTAAAAAACGCCTAAGGAACAAGACAAGTGACTTGAGTTATATCTGGAAACTAGGGCAGATCTGAGTGTCCCCTTCACTCAAGGGAAATGAGGTGAAGAAATCTTCAAGTTGAATATAGAAAGAAATAGAGCAATATCATCAGACTGGTGAGTAAAGAATATTTTCCTAAAGCCGGGCACCAGTGGCTCACACCTGTAATGCTAGCTATTCAGGAAGCTGAGATCTGAGGATCGCAGCTCAAAGCCAACCCAGGCAGGAAAGTGTGTGAAACTCTTATCTCCAATAAACCACCAGAAAACTGAAAGTGCTGCTGTGACTCAAGTGGTAGAGCATTCTCCTTGAGCTGAAGAGCTGAGGGACAGTGCCCAGGCCCAGAGTTCAATCCCCACAATGGACCAAAAAAAACGTTTTTTTTCCTAGTCCTCTAAGTGTTTAGCAATGAAACTTTGTAGTGAGTCATGTCTCATAATCCCTTGCCTTTTCCAGCATGTATCTTTTTTCGTTAGCTTACTTAGTTATACAGAGGTTGATTTCACTGTTGTATTTCCCCATACCACCATGTATACTTAACTATATTCTCTTAGACAACTTGGTGCTCTCACCATTTGATGAGGAAACGTTAAGACAAAGAATGTTCTTTAAGTTCCCATCCATTCCTTAACATGACTTTATTTTTAAGCATTTACCTCAATACTCTGAATATTAGTTCATTATGACCAAAGAAGGCATTTTAGAAATGGCAAAAAAAAAATATATGAACTATCACCAGGCCAGGGGATAAGCCTCTCATGTAAAATTCATGCCTTCTCTCATCTTTTGAGTGTGATGGTCGGTAGAATTTTTAAAAGACTCCTTCAGAAGAGGTGAGGGTGTAAGTTCAGTGGCAGAGTACTTGTCTAATATATGCAAGAAAGCCCTCGGTTGGATCCCCAGCACTGCAAAATAAATGACTCCTTAAAGATGTCTGCTCTGACTTGCAAAGCAAGCACCCTACCACTTGAGGCATGCCTCCAGTCCCCTTTTGCACTAGTTATTTTGAAGTGAAGCCTTGCTTTATTCCCCGGGTCAGCCTGGGCCTTTATTATCCATATTTACATCTCATGTCACTAGGGATGACAGGCTTACACCACTGTGCTTTCCTCCAGGCTAGGATAACAGGTGTGTATACAACAATGCCCCTAGCTATTGGTTAAGATGGAGTCTCACAATTTTTTAAAACCATCTGATCCTGAACTATAATTTCCTAATCTCTATCTCATAAGTAGCTAGAATTATAGGCTTGAGCCATCATTCACAGCCCAGTTTAACCTTTTATAATTTCTAGATTTTTAAGACAGGTAGATCTTTCATTCAAAATTGATTTTTTTAAAAAAAAATGTACATATTGAAACCAATGACTCATGCCTATAATCCTAGATACTATGGAAGCTGAGATTTGAAGATGATGAGCAGAAAAGTCCATGAGATTCTTATCTCCAATTAACCACCAAAAAGCCAGAGATGGAGCTATGTCTCAAATGGTAGAATGTTCGCCTTCAGAAAAAAAAAAAGCTCAGGCCCTAAGTTCAAGCCCTCCAAAAATTGACAACTATGGATATGTCATAATAATAATCATAATCTATTATTATTTAGTGCATACATACAATGTATAAGGATCAAATTAGTATAATTAAAATTTCTATCTTTTTAAACATTTATCATATCTTTCTACTTGGAACTTTGAAACTTTGAAACTCTTCCTGAGTTCTTTATAAAATGTTATCATAAATTGTTGCAAATTGTAGTCACTTGACTGAAAAGTAGAATACAAATTTACTCCTGATTTAAAGAAAAAAAGATGTCTGCTCTGCTAGGCGCCAGTGGCTCACACCTGGAAG